CAGCTGAGGCTGCAGTGCTATAAAAGGCTGAATTTACAGCATGCACCCCAAGGGTCACTTTTAGTTACACTGGTGCCTTACCTCTGTACTGCTGGGCAGAGGAAATGGGGTCAAATTTACCTGCAGAGCTGCCCCAACCATGCTTTTATCTTTTCTGCAGGACCTTTTCTCAAGTCAGAAATACACAAGATCCACACTTGCCATGAGGAGAGGCTGACAGGTCAGCTCCTATCAAGGAGGCTCAGGGTTAATTATGAAAATGAAACCAAATGTCTATTGCTGAAGCCAACCAGGATCCCTGAATGTAAAAGGTTATTTCTTAAATGCTCAAATAGCTCAAAGAACAACTGCTTCCTCCAGGATTTGGCTTTATGAGGAAAATACAACACTTGTGAGCTGAAGCATGAGTGACATCTAAACTGGGCACTGCTGCCAGAACACACCTCAATGGTACAGCAAAGTGATAGAGGCCTTTCTCACATCAGAAATCCATGTTTTCTGGGACATTCTGTTGGCTGGTTTAAGATCTATGAAACCTACTGCGTTGGTTTTGGCTGGGATAATTAATTTGCTTCACCGTGTTTTGGATTTGTGCTGAAAGCAGTGTTGATAATACAGGGATGTTTTTACTGTTGCTGAGCACTGCTTACACAGAATCAAGGCCCTCTGCTTCTCACACCAGCCCACTGCTGGGAGGAAGCAAACAAGTGGTTCTGCCAGCTGAGATTAAACCACAACAGTCCTTTTTGGCACACCACATAGGGCTCAAACAGTTCTAGATAACAACAGATTTGGCTGGAATGCGCTAGATTACATTTGTACCTGTTATTACTGTTCAGCTATTAATCAGCAGGCTCCTGTGCTTGCTTGCTTGCCTTGCTGTAAATTAGAGTCTAGTGCTTGTTAGTGGCTGGTTTTTTGCCTTTGCTCCTTGCTGTACCAGTGCACTGCTCATCATCTTGGCCTACCGTGCCTGGGGACATTCTGATAGCAGCAATGGTGGTGCCCCAGGGCTGGCAGACGGACAGGACACCGGTGCTGTTTCTGTGCTGCTGTACTGGACAGGCTGGAACTCCAGTGTGAATTTGAGTTGAAGGTGCTATGACCTGTGGATGGAGCAGGACACCCCAAAGCACCTGTGGCTGTGGATAAGCCCATGCCTGAGCAGGTACACCTCTAAGTGTCTGAGGCTGTGGTTACGTCAGGCTATGCTGGAACTAGAAGTTGAATTTAAGATACAATAAGGGAAATGTTACCAAGAAGACTATGTCTCCACACATATTATGTCTATCACCCTGCATCATTCTATTCTTTGAATCTTCAGTGTCCCATGTAAAAAACCTTTGCTTCCCCTCTTTCAAATCCTTTTGTGTACAGCCACACCAGTCATTATTACAAGCCCAAAGGAAGCATAGAATCAGAATGGTTAGGGTTGGAAAGGACCTTAAGATCATCTAGTTCCAACCCCCAAGATGAGCCTCGCCCTGGGAAACCAGCTGCTTGATCATGGTGTCTCCCCTGCCAGGTAAGTATCTCTAATTCTGCTTCAAGTAACTGAAAAATGATGGAAGAAAAAGAATCTTCATCACCAAAACGGTACCTCCGTCTTACTTGACCTTCAAGGTCCTCAGCAACTTTTAAGACAAGTTTAGCATCTCAGTGATATCCTTGCACACTGCTTTCAGCTCCATGAACCTCCTCTCAAGCTTCATTGACTGGGAGAGATCACCTCACCTATTTGAAAAGCACAAAACAGCCACCCCAGCAGGTTGTTTGCATGCTCCTTTTTCAGCCTGGCTTTCTTCATAATCTGACTGCAAGAAAATGCACATTAAGGACATTTTATACCTTCTCCCTCTAATGCTGTAGATAGTTCAAGCACAACAGACCCACCATGCTTTCAACTTCTTCCCAACCACAGTTACAAATAAATTTATCAGTGATGCTTTTCTTACACGCTTTGTAACTTTCTATGCAAAAACACGTGCTTGCAGCCAGATCCCAAACAACCAGTTACTAAGTGTATATTGTGTATATAAACTGTATATAAACCTCACTATAGCATGTTGGGCAGATCAGTGCTTATGTCTCTCAGAACACAGTACCACTTTGGGGATAGTTAGAGGGACATTATTGTATTTCTATACAGCTAACACTAATAAAACTACAGTGAAACTAAAAGTTACAAGATTCCTGGCTCTGCTAACCCTAAAGAGACCAATTGCCTCAGGCTTCTAATTCCTCTTCTTTTTAAGCAACAAAAGATAAAAATGCCCTTGGCTGATATACTATTCCCTGCAGTCATAGGGTAAAGGCACTCTGAATTCCTTAGTGCTGACTTTTATCCTCCATTTCACATTAATGAAGCAAAAAGAAACCCATTACAGATGCCTGCACTGTGCACCAAAGGCAAACATCACACCACAGCTGTCAGGTTGAGGGAGTGAGAAGCCATAATACATGCTGTTACCATGGTGCCACCCGCTGCCAGAACATAGGATGAACAAATAGGATGAATTATCTGATGTGCACTGAAGTAATTTTACTCAGCCTGCTAAGAGATTATTTTTCTATGACTCTCCAAGTTCTCCTTACAGAAATCCAGGTAAGGATTTAAAGTGATTCTCATAGCCAGAAAGCTGTCAAAGATTCTGCTTTTACAGAGTAATAACCGACTTAAAAGATACCTGCTCTGTGTACTTGGTTACAATCCGGATTTGCCAATCATGGTTTACAGTTACAATGATTTAAGGCTTGTTCAAACTGAGAACAAGCATTTGTTTTCATCACAGCCACGCATTTAAAATCCCAGATTTTACCTCAGATCTTTGCAGGAAGTTGTTCAAGTAAACCAAAACATCACAAGCAGTTTTTTAAATAGGACTTCTGTTGTGCAGGGTAGTGCTCAGACACCATTTTGAGCTCAAGTTGCATCTATTTCTGACAATACCCCATCAGAAAACAAAACTTTACCAGTATAAAAAGCTGCATATATCAACATTAGAACAGTTAGGGAAGTTGATTTGTCAGTCACTGGTGGAAGTCAGTGTTAACTGAAACGGCATGAAGCAGTGCCGAATTCCCAGCACTGTCCTGATACTGAGCATCAGGAAGCCAGCACTTCAGGGGCTGACACAGACTATTTTGTAGTTACAGTTCACATTTTCTAAATAGGAGACTCTGCTTCTGTGACTTCCATCTCCTGAGGTCACTGCAGGCAGGAAGCTCAGCCCACAGATTGAGTCTCACCACAGCTTTGTTCTCATGCAGGTCACAGGAACATGCATTTCTCTTTAACCCCAGCCAGCCAAGTTGAAAAGTACATGAAATGAGGAGAGGAAAAGCCAGCTGAAACAAATGGATCTTTCTGATGAATGTTTACAAAATAAAACTCTACTAAAGCAAAACTCTGGACCTGCATTAACCAGAAATCCCAATGAAGCCCCAGATGAGGTGCACTACTATAAGGAACAAAGGCATTCCCAGTCACCTGACATTTGGTGCTAAGAATTAACATCTAACCAAAACTGAAGTTAGCTTCATCATTCATCTGCTATAGAGACTTCTTAACTCTGGATTTGTCAAGGATGTGTCTGAAATTAACCATTAGCATTTATTTGTTTTGAATCTTTTAAACCAAAAGGATCGTGGACATTTTAAAAAGCTAATCAATGTTTAAATATTAAATACTAATTAGCTATAGTAGTAGTATAAAGAAAACTGATTTCTCCATTGTGTTTCTAAGTAAAGTTATATTCCATACAGAAGCTTCCTAGCAACACTCCTGTTTTGGCTCACAGATGGGCTACATGATGAAACATACCTTTTTGTTCTCACCTATTTACAGATAAGATCTTGAGAAGTGCTTGCTTCTAACTCAGACCTAGCTTTGACTGGCTTGTCTTGCCTGCCAGCAGCTGTAAGATAGGATTTGTAAGAAATCTGATGAAACACACTAAAAAGGATCCTAACAAAAATGTTCCTCTGCACCCAAAACACCCTTTCATATTTTTTACAGGAAGAAGAAAACTGGATGTAGGTAAAGGAAAGGACACAAAGCCTATGACTGTGTCTTTTCCCCTAGACTTTGAAAGGATTTAATAATTTAAGCAAAATATGGTTATGCCAGTATGAACTCATACCATTTATTCTAGCATTGTTACCTTCTGTTCTACACTGCAGCAGCATTCATTCTCATGCAAGACCAACCAGCAATAATCCCAAATCTGACTCACACTTTGCTTTCTGCACACCCGTTCCACTGTAACCGCAAGCAACAACTTTTTGGGATTAAAGTCTGTCAGTACTAATAGGCCTATCTGAACCATTTATCACCTTTACAAACATTAGTCAAATACCCACTTTGGCATAAAAACTTACAACTACCAAGCATGCTGTAAGCGTTGACATGTGTGCACGTATACATACATGGACTCAGCGCAAAAAGCTTATCTCCGGAGGCTCAAATAATAGATCTGAAAGCACTAGTGTCTCCCTCCAGACAAAATGTCTGTACACACAAAAAGTTACAGCCTACATTTCTGATGATTTCATGTCATATGCTTATTGGTATCTCATACCGCATTATCTGGTGCTTCGCATACCAAGGACTGTTTTTACCCATGTGGCTGCTTAACAAGGGCCGCATGATGGCACTGTGTAACCAGTCTCAGTGCCTTAATTACAGCCATTTTTGTGTAAAATTTGGCTTGGACTGTTTTCTCCCAGCTCGTTTGAACTGGTAAAGACTAACAGGCAAAGGAAGATGCGTTTTAACACTTTCTTTTACAGTTATTACAGTTTAACTCTTGCAGCTGGTAGTCTATACCTATTAAACTTATCTCAGCAGAAGTGGGCAAGTTATCTCAGAATCAAAAGCTATTAAAATGCAATTAAGGATCAGCCAAAACTGGAAAACTCTAAACAGAATTTCCTCAATCATATTTTTTAGTTTGATATTCCCCCGAATACTTTGAAGTTTGAAAACAATTACAAGAAACTGAAGACAAAGACCATTTATTGTATAATTCAGTACAGTTTAGCACTTTAGTCAATACCCTGCCAAGTTTGAAGAAACAGAATGAACACCTTTTCACTTCATTAAATCTGATAATCCAGTAACAGGAAGTTTCTAGTCCCAAGTGAAGGTTAGCAGTTGCAACAGGACAATTCCAAGAAGGCACATCTACCCCCCAATGAGTAAAAAGCATTTAAGGGAACAAAACATCTTGAGGAAACATCCATAAGTAGGAAAAAGTAAAACTGAGTTTGCTGTGCTCTGCCAGCTACCCTTTTCAAAACTAAAAGGAGCCTTCATTATGTCATCACAGCAGGGCAAATACATTCCTTTCAGCACCTGCAGACCAGACAACCCATTGAAAAGCACAAGGGCTCCTTCACTGCCTGCATTAAGCTTCCTAGAAGCAAAGCATGAAAGGGCTATGGTTACAGATTCACATCTCATCTTCATGCAGTCAGGTTGCAGCCACAGTATGCCTCCAAGCAGCAGAACTGTGGGATGCAGCACTGATCTACACCAAATTAACCCCATTCCTTCAGTAGAGCATTTATCATCTCATAGTTAGTTCACAAGCATTAAAGTGTATTTCTTGTTAATTCAGACATTACTGTAAAATGTGAGCTAAAAAGCTGGTCTTGCCATTGTTACTGCTTGCAGTTACACGGTGCCACAGTGCAACTGTGTAATGGCAATACCTCCTGTTCAGAGCTCAGGTGCATCATAGAATACAGAAAGGCTTTCTACCTCAGCCTGTGATCAGAACACAAGCACAGCATTGCAATCCATGTTAAGCATGACCTGAAAGCTGAAGGCAGCTCAGGCTGCTGTCATACAACTAGATCAGAACATTGCCCAACAGCTGTAGAAGTAGATAAGTGAAGGCTGACAATTGACCTGCTTTATGTAATGAAAAACAGGAGTTAAGACCATTAAAACATAAGAAAAATAAATATATATTATTGAACCTGTGTGCTTATAACTTGAAGGCTAGGGTTTCCTCACAGAGCACAGACAGTATCCAGCAATCAGCACTACAATGATGTACAATTAGAAGCGGTCTGCAGCTGCATAAGAATCCAACACATCTTGAACCACCACTGTAAATAGTAAATGAGTTCAATAGAGAAAAATGCCACAAGAGTACCAGCTCTAGTACTTAATGGACACTAGATACACAGTTGTTTAAAACTAATGTGTATTTAATAAAGTTATCTAAACAGTTCAGAAGGGCCTCAACCTATCATGACCATGTAGTCTAATCAGCACATACTAACTTCCAGATACAGAGGACAACAGTGTATCGTACTCTTGCTTTGAAGCTCACCTGCTCTGCTTTAGGTCTTCTTTTTCAAAGCACTGCTGTACTATCTACATCTTGGGTCTCTTTAAAAGAGACAAATCTAGTATTATACAGGTTAGATTAACTTTTATTTAAAAATACAGAACTATGAAATTTGAACTCAATAGAAGCTTCAGAATATGGATTAAATGTCATAATTCGGAGGTGGCATGTCAATGATCTCATCCAGGGTATCAAGGAAGTCGGCAGTTGATTGCAGCAAGTCTGAAAGTTAGAAAAAAAAAAGTTTCTCATGAAACCCAGAATTTATATTCCTAAATATAAGCTAGCTCCCAGTGGATTAACATAAGGCCCCTGAATTATTAAGGGAAATAGTCTGATTGCCTAAAACAACTCAATCAGTTCACAACTTGAAAAAACTGTGGCTGTGCATGAGATCATGCTAGAGTACCTCAAAGCATGCAGCCATGCATAAGCCCACAACAGAGCAGGTAGACCCTTACAAGAAACAGGGCAAGTGCAGCATTGACCCGACCTAAACTGGCTCGGGTGCCCAGTAACTCCACACCACACCACCTGTCTACAACACTCTGCAACATCAGTGAGACCACAGCCTGTACTAGTTAAATTCAGCTTGACTACACCTCAAAAGCTGACAGTAGTTTTATTCTGATAGCCAGTAGAGCAGTGGCAGCTCACTACTGCAGTAGATTCTTTCCTAAACTACAATGAGCACTGCATGTACTGAAAGTCATGCCAAGTTTCCACTTACTAGACTCCCATGAAACCTCCTCAATCTTCACAGGTGAAGGAACCATGTTCACACATCTTTCATATGTCCTTTCAAATACCATGAGGGGAACACCATGCAGGTTGATATTGCTTAGTTTGTGCTCTTCAGGAAGGTCAAAACTCTCAAAATCTATTTGAGAAAGACACACTGTAGTTTAATAACAGTGCACAGCCCGAGAAGCCACAAATTCTCCTAGATTAAATGAAGTGAGAGCAGGTCCAAAACAGCACAATCCAACAGTCCCCACTCTATTGGGTATTTTTTCAAAGTTATATCTTAGTTGTCAAAATCCCATACACCACAAAAGTTCCTGCTTTACATTAACAGATCAGTTTTTGCACATTCACTTTCAGATGAACTGGACAGCTTAAGGACACACTTTGGATGAGTGTGGGCTGTGCAAAGAACAGCTTTAAGAGCTGAAGATGAAACTATTATATCCTACAGCAGTAGCAATCTTTTCAGTTACAAGTTACTGTCTCGGCATACAATCAAGATTAGTCTGCTTTTCAGTACTGCTTAAGTACTCCCTTGAATATTTGTCTACCAATTGCTATTTTACAAACTAAGAGACTATAGAAGTAGTTTCGTGCCATCGCAGTAAAAGGCTGACCACTACATCTGTGGAACACAGCTATTGCCATTAGAAATACTTAAATGAGAATGAGATGGTATTTCAGAAGTAGCAAGCACCCTTATGCTTAAGGACTCCAGAGAAATGCAATGCTAACTTATTTGCCACAATAGTTTAGAAAGTTTTGAAACAAAGCAACACTCGTGAAAGCCTGATTGTTCATTTTGATAATTACACCAATAGTTCTTACCTCGAGGATCAAAAGGAAACATATTTTCTATTTCTGGCCACTGTTCTTCAGCCACTGCATCACAGCTTTCTAAACCTGCAGTCTTCTTAGTGATATTAAAGAGAGGAAGTTACATTATTTGAGCTACTGCAGTTTCCATTTGTAATGGCATTCCTGTGCCATAGCAGGTCTACAGACAAGAATGCCTGCTACAGACAACAGCTAAGCCTAAGTAACTTCAAGACAAATAACCTGGAGACAGACAAACGCTTCAGTTGAGTTTATGTAGCAATACTACAGCAGCAATAAATACTACAGCAGCAATAAATCACTGCACTGGAATATTTACATTCATGATACTAGGTTCCTGATACTTGACATGCAAACAAGACATTAACTCAGTATTTTCTCTAGAACCACTACTTTGCCATTTGGTATCTCCTATGCTCCTGTATTCCTTGTGCTGGTTTTGGCTAGGATAGTGTTATTTTTTTTCTGGTAGCTCATATGATGCCATGCTTTGGATTCACAATGAAAACAGTGATGACAATACAGAGATGTTTTAGTTATTGCTGAGCAGTGCTTACAGAGAGTCAAGGCTTTTTCTGCTTCTCACCCCACCCAAGCATAGGCAAGAAGTTGTGAGGGGACACAGCTGGGACAGCTGACCCAACAGATCAAAGGGATATTCTGTACCATAGGACATCATGCTAAACAATGAAAACCGATGGGGAAGCTCCCCGCTGTCCCTCCTAAGTGTGTTGTACTCACTTTGTTTGCAGCACAATGCTGACTTTTCTGTCTTATCTTTTCCAACTTGCTTGTGACTCCTTGAGTTCTATTCACATTTCCAAGAGCCTTCCTGACAGAGCGAGGTGCAGCTGGAGATGTACTGACTGTTTTTTTGGGAAGTGGAGTCTTAACTTGCGTTCTTTCAGATAAGATTTTTGCTGGAGTGGGTGGAAGAAAAAAATAAACAAGCTTTAGCACCATATCAACCCTAAAGCTTTCTTCAGTAAGTGCATGTGCTAGAAAAGTAGCCATCAAAAATCATTGTCCATCACTTAAAACTCAGGATCATAAACCCCATCTATGACAAAAACAGAGTTATCTCCATTTTTATGGTATTTGAAGAGCTTAGTAGAATTGCTAGAGAAGTAGACATAGGGATAAAAAACTATTACTGATCAAAACAGTGATTAGCAAGACATGGATTTATGCACTTTATCTGATCTCCTGCTGTTTTAAGGCTGCATGTACTCACAAGATCCTGAAGGGAGTCTTAGCCGATTCTTAGTAGTGCCAACTTCATCATTCTCCTGATCAATAAAGATCAGAGTTGCCATCTTCAGGTTGAGAAGACTCTGGAAAGGCCATACAGGAAAAAGAGGAAATTATTCTTACCAGCTTCTTTTCCACCAAAGCACACTTTTTAAACAAACTGCATTAAAGACAATACAGCTGCCATGTGCTGGTCCTTAGACAAGAGGGAACAAACACATACTTCACACCATTGCATAGTAGTTTAGCTACAGACCCTTATGCTTGAAGGCATTATTAGTGCACAAGGTAGCCTCATAGTCCTAAAAGAGCTTATATGAGTTCAGGAAAGAAGTAAATCTCACTAACAATCCTACACGGAAAGATCTAATACCTCTGGCTTGCTTTGTTACTGCTTTGTGGTTTCTTTAGTACAATAAGAGTACATCTCCTAGCTAAGCAATCCAGTCCTTAGCTCAAAACATGCAGCATTTGAGCACGTAAGTACAATTACAGTTATTTTACTAGCAGGCACCTTTTCATGAGAAAAAGAAACAGAGGACACCCTATACAAATCGGTAACTTCATTACAGTTTTTCAGCCCTAACCGAGATAACAGATCAGAGCACTTCTTCACACTGTTAATTAGTATCCAGGCAGCTCCCACCTGGAGCTTGCCACTGCCTTTGCACAGGTACGCAACGACCCCTCATTCAGCAGGAGCCTGAAGGAAAAAGCTGCTTTTAGCTGGTGTAGCTTGAAGTCAAGAGCTCAAGCACAGTCAGAGCAAGACTTACAGCCGCAGGCCTCGGCGCTCCCCTTAGTTCAAGCCACTTCCCACACTCCGGCTGTAAGCGGTAACACCACCCACCCTCCGCTCCCCCAGCCCAGGGCCCACCTCAAGCACCACCGGCAGGCCCGAGCGCAGCAGTACCGGCACAGACCCGCCTCGGCTCACACGAACACCAAGCTACAGACGCTCCTCAGGCAGCAAGCCGGTAGCGTCCTGCAGTGCCGAACCGCCACCTTTTAAACTGGCTCCGCGTCGCCCATTGGCTACTTCGACTAACGCTCCGCAGGCGATTGGCTCAGCGGTGACGCTTCCGCCGCGCCTGCCCTCCCTGTGGCTCCACCCCCTGCTTTCCGGGGGCGGAGCAGGTTGCTACGGTGACGCCGTGGCTCCGCCCTTGGCAGTGCCGTCGCTCCCTGTGACGTAGCCGTGGTGCGTGCCCGGTGCCTGTGCGGCCTGGCAGGTAAACAAGGGCCCGGGGCTGGGGTAGAGGGGCCGCGGGCAGCGGCGGGGACCGGCGCTCGGGGCGGCCGCTCTGGGCTCCGGGGAAGCGCCCGCATCCTTGCGGGCCCGGGCCCTGCTAGGGTGCTGCTTCCTCGCAGGCCTCTCTCTACTCGCGTACGCGTAGGCTCGGGTTCGCGCATGCTGCATGGACGGGTCAGGGCCTTCCGGCAACCCCGGCCGGTCCGCGGGCCCTGCTGACGGCGGGTGAGTCCGTGTGCAGCTCCGCGGGGGCTGGAGCGCCGATAGTGGTGTCCTGCGCTGCGTGCAGAGCTGCTGCTGTGCGTCCCCGCCTGGCGTCCGGCTGGGCAGAGAGCGGGACCTAGAATCATAGAATGGTTTGGGTTGGAAGGGTCCTTAAAGATCATCTAGTTTCAACCCCCTGCCATGGGCAGGAAAATACACAAGTCTTGGTAGTGTGCCTGTCGGTGAACAACATAGGCAGTAAGGCACCTCCAGCAAGTGACCCTAAATAATAGATTAATTAACATAACAAAGGAGACATTGCGTTAATTAATAGTAAGAGTTTTTTTCAGCACCGGTGCTTATTTTTGAGTGCATTTTACAGTGTTACCGGTTTCACTCGATGCAAAACCATGATGAATTGTGCTGTCAAATACTACTGATCTGTAAGACTTCTATTTTCTCATAACAGGAAAAGAAAGAGAAAAAACAGTATGTCATCAGGGACAGTAGCGAATGCTGCTCCTTCAGGAGGATCGAATGATGTGGGCCTGGAGGAACCAAAGAAGATGACAAGAGAAGACTGGAGGAAAAAAAAGGAATTGGAAGAACAGAGAAAACTAGGAAATGCGCCTGCTGAGGTGGATGAAGAAGGAAAGTAAGTTTAATTAAAGCTGTGGTTGTTGTAAAGGTACTGGTTAAAAATGCCTTTTATCCCTGATGTGATTACAGAATAATCATGAGGGTGATACATGGGTCATTGTAGAAATAAATAGTTGGGACTGTTAATTTGCTTTAACATTCCAGTAACCCCTAGAAACATATTTTCCCCACAAAAAATGTAGGTTCAATGTTTATTGACCGTAATCTATTGATAGTGCTGCTAAAAGTTGCATCTATGTGGCTACTTGTAAGTGGTGTTCTAAAAGTGACCAAAACATGGTACTGGGGAACTTCACAGTGTACGTTATCTGTTCCCTGTCTCTTGCTTCTATGAGGCTTGTTGCTTTTGAGAAGAGCAGTGTTACTGGTTTTGTGCTCAGTAACATTGCACAAAATGAAGTGTTTGATTTGGAGTCAGGAATTAGATGACAGCAGCATCGCAACATGAACCTGTGTTCATCTAGTTAAATTTGCAATGTGTTGTAACAACTTCATTATTATCACTTGTAAAGCACTGAACTTTAATGTGAGAGTTATATGTTAGGCTAAGTTGTTGTGGGGGTTCTTTTCCTATGCCATGTATTTATTACACATCTTTTACAGGGATATCAATCCTCATATTCCTCAGTACATATCCTCAGTACCATGGTACATAGATCCTTCTAAAAGACCTACACTAAAGCATCAGAGACCACAGCCAGAGAAGCAGAAAAAGTATAGCACCTCTGGAGAATGGTACAAACGAGGAGTTAAAGAGGTATGCACAATTTTTTTTGTCATAAAATAAAGATTTGGGTTGATTCCAAGAGGATATGATTTCTGGGAACGTGTTTTTGAGGGAGACAGGAGTTGGGGATTCTAATTCAGCAGGCAAGTCTGATTTGATCAAACACAAGGTAGTGTTTGATAATAATCAAAATACATGTTCTGGGCTTGGGTACATCATGCACACTTTAGTTCTATTGAACAAATGAATTGGGTGTTGGGAACGTGTATAAATCTTGCCACAGTTTGTACAACAGTGTCTTTCTTTGTTGTTCAGCATGCTGTGGCAACTAGATACCGTAAAGGAGCTTGCGAGAACTGTGGTGCATTGACACACAGTAAGAAGGACTGCATGGAGGTAAACTCGACTTTTAGAATCATAGAATCATTTTGTTGATGTTTTAATGGTTTTGAAAACAGTGTGAATTCTAATCTTAGTGAAAAATAGCCAGCTATAGATAAAAGAGAAATTTCTGGTTTTGAGGAAGCTATTTGGAAAAACAGGTATTGAAAGGTGGCTTGGAAATTTCTGAAGAAATTATTATGTAGGAAAAATAAAGGGAAGAAATGTTACTGTTCAGGTTGTTGCTCATCAATTCTGTTTGTGATCAGTACTGCAATAATAGGTGAAAACATTTTAGTTCTTCATAATAATTTGCTTTAACCCAAGTGCTGTCTTTCTGTTCCATGTCAATTAGAAGCCATACCCAGAAATTGGTGTTTCAATTTCATTCTTAACTGTGGAAAATAGAGTTCAAAATTGATGGAGTTTGGAATCAGTTGTGCTGCTTTAAAATACAGAAATTAATTACTTGCATTTATGTACAATTCACAGGCTTATAGTGCTGAATTTAAGTGGCTCTAGAGGATCTCGATACTATTTTTAAACGGGTATCTGAGTAACATATTTTAGTCTAATGGACTGATCCATCTATTGTTTTTTAACTTTCAGAGACCCAGGAGAATTGGAGCAAGATACACAGGCATGAATATTGCACCAGATGAACACGTGCAGCCTCAACTGACATTTGATTATGATGGAAAGCGAGACCGTTGGAATGGCTATAACCCAGAAGAGCACATGAAGATTGTAGAGGAATATGCCAAGGTTGATTTGGTATGTAGCTGTTATGTTTCATTCAGGAAAAGTTTAGTGTTTGGTTTTGCTGGGAAGAGGCATGTTATTTTATGTGCAGTGTTAATATTAGACCTTGTGCTGTATTGACAATGAAAAAGTGAGATGAATACTATGGTTGATAGCAGACTTCACATAAACTGAAAATTAAGATCAGAACTGGCAACTGAATATGGATCTGTACAATAGTCTCTCCAGATTGCTTACCTTTTAATAGGCAAACCTTAGAATTTATTACCCAAGATGCAGATTGAATCATATGCAAGAAAGGAATTTATTATCTAGTTGTATTAGAGGCAACAAATCTCTACCTATTTTGTAACCTCGTTCATGTTTTTTTATTAATGAATCCTTTTTGTTACCATGATGGAGGAGTAGTATATTTGTACACAGCTCTTTGCAGGCTGGCATCCTGCTGTTGCAGATAACTTCCTATGTGTATGCACCAAATGTATGTGAACACTAAGTAACTTCTAAGAAAAGCTGAAAAAAGAGTTCACTACCTTAGCTAGATGTCAGCTACCTGTTCCAGAAGATATTTAGGTGCATAAGTAACTCCCTTCAATGCCTGGTCCTCAGTATTTTCCTATAGTACATAGGAAAGCTAGTGCTAAAAGTAATCTAATCAGTGTGTGTAAATGTTTGATGGGAATGTTTAAAGGCAGAACTGGACTCTTATGAGTAGTATCTAATGACAGGACAAGAAGCAGTGGGCAAAAACTGAAATACAAGAAATTCTGTTTAATGATAAGAAAAAAATATTCTACAGTAAGGGTGATCAAACAGGGGAACAGCTTGCCCAGTGGGGCTGGACAGTCTCCATTTTTGGAGGTAACCAAAACCTGCCTAGACTGTCCTTGGCAGTCTCCAGAGGTACTTTGAAATCCCACTTCAGGTGCTAGACTTTAGTGGCCCCTCTTGCATGAACCATAAATGCAGCATCAGTCACAAAGTACCTTAAGCACTGAAGTTTCTAACTAATCTATGAGGACACAAGAGTAAAACGTATTTGTTTTTAAACACAACTGAAATAAGCTCTTTAGTTCTTAAAGTAGGATGAATGTATTAATGGTAGAACTGCATAAATCTGGTA